TAAACTACAGGAGAAAATTCTGGTTGTTCACCCAATTCTAATAATGATAAGAACTCCACAGGGAAGCAGGTACAGCAGGAGTCCAATGTTCATAAGTAGAAGATCTCTCTCAACAATTGTTTCGGCAGATTACCTCCTAGACAACTTCAGAGGGTAGGCCTACCTGGGTCATGACTCCCAGACTTTGATCTTTTCCTGCTGCACTTTACCGGATGTTTTCGTGCAGGGACAAGACGAAAATGGTGACTATGCAACGGGTACTGTGAGATTAGAAGTTAAAAACTAGACTTTAGTCTTGTTCCAGCCATTTGTGTGAGTGTGTGTGAGTGCGTGTGTGCATGTGCATGCGCATGTCATGTGTGTGTGTCTGCATGTAATGAATGAGTCTCTTACAGTAGTTTTGTTTGAATATATATATATATATATATATATATATATATATATATATATATATATATATATATATATATATATATATATATATATATATATATATATATATATATGCGTGTGCAAGTGTGTGTGTGTATGTGTAGTTTATAACACTGCAGAAATTTTATAAATGTGTTTGTGTGTGAGGTTTTTTTTTTTTATCAGGGGTACTTGGGAGAAATAATCTAATAACATAAAGTTCAGAAACAAATTGTAAGTTTGGCTACCAATTTTTGTAATCCAGGTTTCACTAACACTTTCACACTGTTTTTGAAATAAATTTACATAATTAGGCTAAGACTCATTCATAGCAGATTTTTATTTCCAGGAGGGAAAAATATATAACCACTGAATGAAACAAATATGTTTGAAAACTGAAGTCTCTCAAATCTCAGTCTATCTACTGACTTTTTCTGCTTAAAGCTGTAAGGCGTCACGGGTATCCCTCAAATAAAAGATGAAAAACAATATGTAACATGTTGATTGATACACACGAATAATAGATAGCTATACTTAGTGCTATATACTAATTTTATACGAAAACGCCGCTGGAACTATGTCGGCCACGCCCTTAGAATGGATAAATCAAGACTTCCTTACCAAGCCCTCATTTGGACACCACAGGGGAAAAGATCTCGTGGAAGACCAAGGGGACCCTACTTAGAATATATCATCACTGCATAAGAATCCGCCTACAGCTGATCTAGCCTAAGCATCTGTGTCAATGTTGGTCTTACAGTTTCCATGTCCTTATGATTTCATAATTTCCAACTGCACAACATAGGTCTGCTGTTTTCTTATGGCACCTAATTTCTTTAATCTTTGTCAGATTAAAAATGTGTGTTCCCCTTCAAAAAAAAAAAAAAATTATGCACAGTAATTGACACAAATAGTATACTTTTTATGAGCCAACAACAAGCGTTATGGCAGTTCATGGCTTATCCTATTCAAAATAAGCCTGCCTTAGTTTCTCGCACGGATTATCGAGTTGTGTGCAATCTGATGTTTTGTCAACTTCACCTCAAGCTATTTACTGTAAACATGCTATTTGTATGCTTTAAACCAGTGTCTGTTTTTTTCATATACCACAAATAAAGTGAGGCAAAATAAAAACTAGATGTATGTTTGCATTATAATTATTTTCTTACCAGGACATGATTATTAACAGGCTGCATGCCAATTTGAACAATTTACACAGAACAGTTAGTGAGTTACAGATTTTTAAAGGTGGGTACAACTTTTGGAATGTACTGTAAATACTTTGCAATTTGGCTTAGAGAAACATCTGTACACAAATAAAATGTGGTACACATGACCAAAAAAAAGATATATATATATAGAAAGACATGATACCAATATCACATAGCAAAGACTTTAACTCTCACGCCCCATTAAGACAAAACCCAGTGCTTCCGGTTCATGTCACAATCCTGTAAATGTCCCTTTCCCAGATTGCTATAGAAGCTTGTAGTAGTAGTAGATTTTACCCCACCAGGACATCACACAAGCGATAAACACCCGATGACACAAAGTGCCACCATGTGGATGAGGATCACCCGTGGAGAGATCTTGGAAACCTCTTTCAGTCATTAGGCCATATTTATGGCCAGGCTATATTGCGGCCCCTGTCAAGAGTCAGAGTAAGGCTCCAAAATAACGAAAAATTGCATCCCACGAGGGGATGACAAGTTGATTATTCAGAAGCTTATTTATGAAGAGTGCTGGTAACAGCATTTTGTATGGATAACTTTTTAGAATAACCAGTAACAAGCATTATTGCTTTAAAAAAAACCATTAATGTGGGCATTTCTTTATAGAAAATGACTCAGTGAGTGATGCTGTCAGCATCACGCCGGCCCCCTTTTACTTCCCAGGACTGCATCTGGTACCCATTCAAGGCTGGGTTGACCTTGAAGCCAAGGTCATTTTTGAAAAAGATGGAGAATAAGTAGATGATGTAAAACAAATTAGGGAAAACCAAAGTTTGTGGGAAAGGAGGAAAGGTGGTTGGTAGGGTTGCAAGACTGGAGAAAAGTGGGAGAGACAGAACTCCATTACAATGCTGGATGTTTGAGTGAAGAGTGTGGCATGGAAAAATAACGGGACAGCCCAGTATAGCAGAGAAAGAAGTAATTCATGAGACAGGACTCTAGGGTGGAAGGTGTGAGAGCTGAGGGTTTGTGTGAGAAATCTACACCGCTTGAAGGCTGAGAGAGAAGAAATGCAAATGTGTTCCCAACGGTGACTGCGTCTGTTTACACTGCAGATGGTGGACATTGAGGGTATGGCCATGTAATCTGAATTAGATGCAAGCAGAAACTGGATGTGTGAAGTAAGTGACTGTCCTAGATTGTTGCTAGGCTGATTGTTTAGACTTACAGAAGTTAGCAGCTAGTGACATGAAAACAGTCTTTCATAGCTCATGTTTGGTGATCATTGAATGTGGGACAATTATTAACTGGTGTCAACTATTAAAGCAAGCAATGATAAATAGACCAGGCGAGAAGCAAAGAAGAGGCTGACTATGCAAACTAAAGATAGAGGTAATAACTGAGTCCCTAGGAATCCCTAGTTATAAAGTGCACAAATGGGCACTTTCCTGTAAATTATACTTCACCTGGGCACTGCAAGGTAACAGAGGATCAAGATGAGATGAGATGGCTGACTACTATAAGGAGGAGTTGCAAGAGAATCTGAGAGAGCCTCCCTCTTATCTATCCTATACTCCCTTCTTCAAAATTACGGATAGCAGAGGTGTTTATTTTTGCTGGTTGTCAATTCTCTCGGATTGTTCTGTTTCTTAATCATGGACTGCTATTTTATGCACATTTCCAACGCAGGATAGTATGTGTTTTTCCTGGGAGTAGCGTGTATTATGGTCGCGTTATGTCAGGGCAGGATAATGACTGATAGTTTTGGCCTCGACCATGCTGCCTTCACAATGTTTTGATCATGGCGGTCCACTCGGGAAGATAGAATCTCATCAGTGGAGGACTGCAACTGTCAAGAGAGTAAACTCGATAAAAGCTGTCCTAAAACAGAATGTGTCAACAGTTTTTGTGGTGGGGAGGAATCAACACATACGGTTAACTCAATGGTAATGGCCACCTAACCTGTGAGTGCTAGACAACAACCAGGTTCCTATAGTAAGAGGAACATTACGGCCAACAAACAATCACGCTAGCCATTTCAATAATACAGCCTTCTCAATATTTTAACTATGAGAAATTTCCGATTCCACTTTCCAGAACATTCCTTGGTACATTTCAGACAGGGCCAAATTGGAATCCAAGATCATTTAAAAAACAAACCTGCCTTTGATGGGAACTCCAACCTTTGACCATCAGGCCAGCACACAAGAGTGCTAGTCATTCTTCTTCTTCTTCACGTTCACCAGCTTTACACTCTAGCAGAAAGTTCTGGCTGTTCTTCCACTTCTGAACTGCAGTCCTGCTCCAGAACCTGAGTGTTGTGTGTGCATCAGTTTTACATATCTGATACACTTGAATGCAGACTGTTGGTTCTTTGCCCCTCAGACAGATACACTCTGACTTCAAAGGAAGCTCCCCAATTAGTCGACTCTTACGACCTGTTTTTGGGCAGGCAGTGGGTCTATTCTTGTTTTCCCTACAATGGGGCCCTGGAGCCCACACTAGTCATTGGTGCTAGCCATTCACTGCTATGCCTTCCTCAATATTTTGAGAATGCAAAATTATCAGCACTTCTTATTCTGTGTTTACTCTTCAAAGAGTTGTTGGCATATCATGAACTCTTCAAAGAGTTGTTGGCATATCATGAACTCTTCAAAGAGTTGTTGGCATATCATGAACTCTTCAAAGAGTTGTTGGCATATCATGAACTCTTCAAAGAGTTGTTGGCATATCATGAACTCTTCAAAGAGTTGTTGGCATATCATGAACTCTTCAAAGAGTTGTTGGCATATCATGAACTCTTCAAAGAGTCGTTGGCATATCATGAACTCTTCAAAGAGATGTTGGCATATCATGAACTCTTCAAAGAGTTGTTGGCATATCATGAACTCTTCAAAGAGTTGTTGGTATATCATGAACTCTTCAAAGAGTTGTTGACATATCATGATTTACAACTAGGCTTTGATATATGTACCTTTCTGCCCAGCACATCCAATTTCTGCAAAACCTTAAACAGACACCTCTTATGAAATGTGTCTATTATTTTTCCTCTTCAAAATAAGGCTCTGGAGCCCACATAGAGGAAGTAAACTTCTTCTTCTTTGTGGTAACCAGCTTTAAACTCTGGCAGAAAGTCCTGGTTGTTCATCCACTTCTGGCTTTTGGTCTTTTTCCAGAACTTGAGTTTTGCATGCACATCCATTTTACAGATCAGGCTTATTTCTATGCAGGCTGTTGGTTACATTGCCTCTCAAGCAGATGCATTATAACTTCAATAGAAATGCCCCTAATTTGTTGCCTTTGTCAACATTAGAGGGTTGGTGGGTCTATTCTTTTATCCCTCAAATTGAGGCCCCAGGCCCTACACAGGGAACAAAGAAAACAATTAGCAGTACAAAATACAAGAGAATATCTCACTTGAGACTGGAGCATGAGGGTCATAGATGATAATAGCTGGTGAGACGGCCCTGCCACTGTAAATATTGGCATTTCGTCTTCTCCGACCTGAACTTGCAGGAGTTGTGGTGACATTCGTTTTACTGTTTGCACATGTACGGTCACATTCCTGGGTGTTGTCAGAGGCCAGACATATTATAGCATCGCAGTGAATATACAGGATGTCATAGCCCACAAATTTGAAAGGTTTGAAACGAAAACCAAACCGGAAGTTGCTTAGTGGATAGAAAGTCAATGATGGCTCTTGACTGCATCTGTTTATAGATAGAAATGTGATGGTCAGTGAACAGTGGTTTATTTATTTATTTATTTTTTAAACCACAGATTACATTAGATGGATTATTTTGTATATTTGGTAATTCCAGTTTTCTAATCATCTACTTAGAAACTTTATCCTTGCTCCAAAATTGGAGTTTTGTGTACACATCCACTTCACAAATCTGGCTTACATGTATGCAGACTGTTGCTTCCTGATCTCTCAGGCAGATAGATGCATTTCGGCTTCAAAGGAAACATTAGCCACTATTTATAAGATGCTTGTTGGGGGAGGGGGGGGGGGGGGGAGCAGTGGGTGTATTCTTATCTACTCACAATATGGGTAGATAAAAGAACAAATGACTTATCTATCATGATGGAAATAATCTACTAATCTCTGGTAAAGGGAACTCTTAATTATCTCTGAATATAATTACAACACACTTATCTATCATAATAAATCAACTGATGTATCTTGACGGAATATCGTGATGGAAATAACTTGCTGATCTATGAAAATAAAAATACTACTTAACATTGGTTATGGGTATAACTTACTTATATATGAAAATAGAACAACTGACTTATAAATTTTAATGGAAATAAATGAAAATGGAATTACATTAAAACTTTTTTAACCTGGAGCTGCCATGGCGCAGTGGCTAGATACTCACCAGCAGATCTGAAAGTTAAGGGTTCAAGTCCTGAAAATACCTTGACCCTCAGGTCGACCCAGCCTTAAATGGGTACCAGGTAAAGTCCTGGGAAGTTAAGGTGGCCAGCATGATTTGACCATGAGTGCTGACTGGTCTATAAAATATAGGTATGGGTCTATATGTCCAATTTTTCTAAAGGTGCCAAAGAGGGTTTTTTACTTTTACTTACCTAACATGAACTCACTTAAGAAGAACACTATGTTAACATAAAAAAAATTTGTTTAGTCCCAGGAAGGATGCATTATTGTTATTAGTAACTGGTAAGTGCAAAGTGTTTAAACACAAACTCAATATTTGACCCCTTGGAATTTGTGTTAACAAATGTTTTATTGTACTTACTTATCTTTTGTTATGACAATTACCTCTTCAATTTTTGACAATATAAAATATGACTGATCAATCATGATGTACATAGTGTTGCATGCTAAATTAATTGGGCTGGTCAGAGGCGTGATCACCTATGCCAGTCGTAAAGCACATGATGATGATGGTAGCAGAGACGTGGGCAAAAGGTTGGCTTGAGATGAGAGACGAGTACCTCTCAACCAGTCCGACCATGCGGACGCATGTTCAGATGTCTGTGAATTTTTAGCATTAATTATGTGTATTATCTTAGTTCAGTGAAAGTTATCTTGTGTATTAGAATTTGGTGTATGAGTCAAAATGCTCCCATTGTGGGGATTTTGTGGTGACAAGGCGTGGAGAGCCCAACATGTTATTTGCCACTATGATCGACAGAAGTCGAACGGTGAATTGTGGCGAAATTACAAGGATGGCATTGGGTCATGCCTCGTGATGATTCTGGTTCGACTGTGTGTTAAGAGACTTGTTGCCTGGGGCATAGTCTCTGATCAGTTATCATGTAAAGGTTATGGTGACCCAAAGTGAGGGCACGTAACCGAGGAGAAGAATGTGCCTTGGGTGATGATGCGACGAGGCGTAGCATCACCAGTGAAATAAGACAGTAAGGAGTATGTTGTGGACTTATGCCGAGTCGAGGCTAGGGGTTTCCTTTTATGTGACACCGCCTTGGTAGCATAGTATAGTGTATAGGTGCAGCTTTAGATAGACAGTCGACCTGTATCACCAGTTCATGCTTATCACCATGTTGTGTTGCGTCCAAATAAACAGGCTTAAGCACAAGTAGAGAAATGACTCTTCCCGTGCTGTTGATGTGGTTGGTTGCAGACTTTTCTCAGTGTTAGTAGTATGAAATGATTATGAAAACTGTGATAACCTATTATTTTCAGGTAGGGGAAACCCATTAGTCGCCAGGAGGTTGGCTTGAGGGGACTTTCATATATGAGTGAGGAATAATCTGTTGCCTTCAGACACTTGGTTAGGAAGCGATACACACCCTACATATCACTGTGCAACATATAGCTTAGCGATCTCTGGTAATTTCCTGGGCATTTCATGGAAGGACAAACAAATAGATGCTTGAAGTAGCAGATATTACCATAGGGCATTCTATCCTCAAGCAGATTGTCTTCAGTGGCTGGGTCATGTGTCTTGAATAGAAGCATATTCTCAAAGATCTCCTTTATGGAGAATTAACCACAGGGAAAAAAGCCAACTGAAAGACTCGAAATGTGATATAATGATGTCTGTAAACAGGAAAACCCTTGGCATAGATACAGAAACACAAGAGAGAGAGAGAGTGAGAAAGAGAGAAAGAAAGAGAGAGAGAGAGAGAGAGACAGGGAGTGAGAGAGAGAGTTACAGCAGACAGATATTCCTGGAGAAAAGATGTGCGAACACAGACTGGTGCTTTTTGAGGGTATCTGATTAAACAAACTCAAGACAAGAGGCACAGGTATAAAAATGCAGTCACTTGTTATGGGAAGTGGGAGTTTAACATCAGAGGCCCATAGGGTAGTAAAGAGAGATGCCATATTTTGTGTTCACTGGGCTTCTAGATAGAAACCTCTGAATGTAAGATGCTTTTCTAGGACTGAAAGAGTCAATCTTACAGATGTGGGAATTATGACAGAGACTGTCACTCTCCCATCGGACTGTATGGTCACTAGCGCCACTGTCAGGCATCTGCCCAACGGTATAACTCTATAACATCCTATGAGCTGAAATTGGACTGCTATTAATATGGTAACTGAAACCAAAGCTCTTTTTCTGGCGGTCTGCAACGTTGCACAGTACTGGCACCTTTTTTAAGGCATTTTGTTTCACTGCTAGTTAATAGGCACTTTTTGGTGAGTGCTGCCATTTTTTTTCTAGAAAAGAAAAAAGTCCTCACTGAAAACTTACTTATGTTTACTGTAGGGAAATTACTTATAAATTATTATAGAACAATTGACTTTTCTATAGTGAGAGAAAAACTTTACTTATCTATGATAATGGGAGATATTGCTTATCAATGATAACACAGATGTCTCATTTGTCCCCATACATGAAGAGAGAGGTAAATCAATGATAACACAGATGTCTCATTTGTCCCCATACATGAAGAGAGAGATAAATTCTTTACCGTTTATAATAAATAAGACTTACTTATCTGCAAACAAAATCCTGCGTATATTTGCCAGTATATCCCCAGTTGGGCTGGCTATGCAATTTGTGACCACCAATTTCAAGTTTGGGTCGTACTCTTCCATGGAAACGACCATGTTTAGATATTCACCCAGAGGAATTTGAACTGGATTTTCATTAACCGGAACAGTGAATGAGTCATTCCGGTAGATGGTCAGCTGAACCTAGAAGACAATAATAAAAGTAAGTTTGTAAAGTTTAACTCTTTTGAAGAAGCGTATAATTAATTTTAGTCCTTACATTCTGTGAAGTTCTAGTTTAAAGTAGCAATTGTTTGCGCCCACAGAATTTATAATAATTATAGCAAGGGTGCTGACACAAATAAAATGGCGGAAGTGGGGTGGGGGGTCAGATTTCAACCCAATCGCCATGAGAAGCCAAAAGGGGTCTAGTTCCCTGAAATGTCATTTAAACGACCTTCCTACGATGATGTGCTTACAAAACATTCAGTTGATGACATTTGTTATGTTTGCTTCTGTGCAGCATTTAAGAGGTCAGAATATGAATATATCTACTAACATTAGCATTTTGGGTGGTGGGGGATTGGGGGGGGAGGAGGGGGAGGTGATTCTTGTGAACCAAATGGCTTTTTTAAGGTTTGTTGATGTCTATTTTTCCTGTAGCCTCAGTGAAGGAGGTCACGTCAAAGCATGAGTCACCTGTTAGTTTTGAAGCCTTTGAGGAATATATTTTCTATTTAATGCTTCACTCTGTTATTGTTTTATTGATTAATTTCTTTATACAACTTCATATATTTCATTTTAAAAAATGTTTGTAGTGTAGATAAATAAAGTTGTAACAAATTTATTAGCGACTGTAAAGTGGTTTAATTTTCTTCTTTTTTTTTAATTTGTAGGATTTTTTTCAGGAATTTTAACAGGTGCATGACACATTTGTTTAAGCATTCATGGGGAAACAGAGTTAATATATTAGTAATAATAATAATGTGATAAATGTTAAGTACGTATAAGAACATTTGAAATAATGTGATATGCATGAATGAAAATTTAAAAGGAGAGCTTCTACCAAAGGGGAGGAAGAATAGGCAGCTTAACCATCTTAAAATTTAGGACATAAAAAATGCGAGCAGAGCTCCAAATACCCAAGTCACCAAGTTCTGGTACATCTGAATAACAATATGGGCACAAGGAGTGGAACTAACAATTCAGATTAATGAGCCAGTAACAAGAAGAAGAAAAATGTTGAATTTGGATAATTAAATTTTTGAACATGTATTAGGGACCTTATTGCTTTTTAAAGAATTTTTTTCCAGGAATTCCAACGGGTTTGTGGGCTAATTTTTAGCATTTGCAGGGTTATGCGGGAGAGCAGCTTAGCTACCCCCCAAAATAGGAGCAGGGCTCAAGATTCTGGCTCGTCTCAATAACACTAGGTAGAAGACATAGAACTAACAGTTTAGATTAATGCGTTAATGTAACAGGTAATCACAGCTCCAACTTCATAGCAAATTAATAATCCCATAGTTTTTCTGTTCCTGTACCAATGAAAATTGTACAGAACGTCCATTGCTGTCCCTCATGGAAAAAATGACACAGAGTGTGGTGTCGGCAAATCTAATAGCATAAGAACAGACCAATACTAGAAATGCAGTTCATCCATGAATGGAAGTAGCAGTTACAAATGACACGTTTCCTTTGAAGTCGTAGTAAATCTGCTTGAGAATCCAGAAACCAACAGTCTGCACACAAATAAGCTAGACCTCTAAAATGGATGTGCTTGCAAGCCCTGTAACAAAACCAAGATGTAGAAGCAGATGAACAACCAGGACTTTCTGCCGAAAGTCTCTTTCACCTCCCAGATGTCCAACGAGAGAAATAATCGGTATGAAAAAAAATTCATGCATGACTTTCTATAAGACAAACTACTCGGTGAAATGAACAGGTGGTGAACGAGAGGAAGACAAAGAAGATGAACATCATGCCAGTCATCTTTATTTTGAAACACATTTCCTGGTATCCATTTCAGGCTGGGTTGATCTGGGAGCCCAATTTAAAATAACAAATACACCTGATGTGGTAGGAAGCAAAATCCAACACCTTTGGTCCAGAAGTCAAGGGTTACCCACTGCAATACCACTGCTCCCACAAGAACAACACAGAGACATGAAATCTTACTGGAAAGTTTCCAACTGCTGACTGTGTGACTGCTTGTGTGATGGGTTCAACTCTCTGAGTGACTTCCACATCAACAGGTAGTATACATGAGATCTGGACTCTGTCAACAAATCAACAAGATCCATTAGAACATTAGTGCTCCCAATGCTTTTCTTCTCGGAACAGCTCCTCCTCCTTCAAAAATCTCAGTCACTAAGGCTTTAAGTGACCAAGGTTATCAGTCATTAAGGCTCACAGTGACCAAGGCTCTCTGTCACTAAGGCTCCCAGGGGCAAAGGCTCACAGTGACCAAGGCTCTCTGTCACTAAGGCTCCCAGGGGCAAAGGCTCACAGTGACCAAGGCTCTCTGTCACTAAGGCTCCCAGGGGCAAAGGCTCACAGTGACCAAGGCTCTCTGTCACTAAGGCTCCCAGGGGCAAAGGCTCACAGTGACCAAGGCTCTCTGTCACTAAGGCTCCCAGGGGCAAAGGCTCACAGTGACCAAGGCTCTCTGTCACTAAGGCTCCCAGGGGCAAAGGCTCACAGTGACCAAGGCTCTCTGTCACTAAGGCTCCCAGGGGCAAAGGCTCACAGTGACCAAGGCTCTCTGTCACTAAGGCTCCCAGGGGCAAAGGCTCACAGTGACCAAGGCTCTCTGTCACTAAGGCTCCCAGGGGCAAAGGCTCTAAGTGACCAAGGCTCCCAGGGGACAAAGGCTCTCAGTGACCAAGGCTCTCAGTCGCTAAGGCTCCCAGGAAACAAAGGCTCCCAGTGATCAAGGCTCTCAGCGACCAAGGCTCCCAGTGACCAAGGCTCTCACTCACTAAGGCTCCAAGTGACCATGGCTTCCATGGTGAAAGATCTTTTAAGGGTGACTAATCCTCCTTGTGAGCAAGGCTGATAGGATCATCAAGGTTCTCAGTGACCAAGGCTGTCAGGATGACCAAGGCTCCTAGTAACCAAGGCCAAGGGAGCATGAATAAGACAAATAGATCTCAGTTTCTAACAATTACATAAATAAATAAATTGTATGTATAATGATAGAGAGACAGACAGTTGGATAAATGGACAGACAGATGCAGGAAGAATTTCAGACAACTAGACAAGTATAAGGGCAAGGAAATAGAAGAGTGGATAATATGGAGGTGAAGTGACATATGGCTGGGTGGGTAGGAATATAATTTGGTGAGTAGGCGGATGGGTATCCATAGGTCGACTTGTAGGTAAGCAGGTATGTGCGTAAGAAAGTGGAAGGGTAGGTAGGTAGGTATTTTATTAACTAGATGGGGAGGAAGGTAGGTTTGTACATAATAATGTACAAAAGTAGGTAGGTTGATGGGTAGTTAGGTTTTATATTGTCATACCTGTATGTGTTGACTCTAGTAATGGACCCTTCCTGAGATGTGAAGTCATACTTAATCTCATTGTAGTAAATTATGTGAGTGCCATTTCTCTGGGAAAAGAAAATAACAGATAAAGATTAGTGTTTTTAAGATTTGTTGAAATAAACAAGTTCCTAAACACAGAGAGCCAGAGAGACACAATTAATGAAAAAATAAACAGAAAAACTAGCCTATCTTCAGTTCTTTTATGTTATCACAATCAATGTCACTGCACATTTCAATCCCACGCATGCTCAATCCCCCAATACAGCAGCAGGGACTTCAAGGGACCTCTGCTGATTGTTCCCATGAGGAGCTGGTTATAATGTCTCCTGTATCAGCCTCCAAGATGACACAGACATGCTTCACTCTGCTTTACTCCCATGTCACACAATCGTGTTAGTGTCAATGTTTCATCATTATCCACTGTCTTGAACTGGCTTCATCATCAAAAACCATTCATTCAACAATTCATGAACTGGTAATTTCTTCTTCTTCTCCTACTTAGCGTTCACTGGCTTTAAACTTCAGTGGAAAGTATACTTCTGGATTCTAGTCTCATTACAGAATTTGAATTTTGTGAGCACATCTGTTTTGCAGATTTGGCTGGCATGTATGCAGACTGTTGGTTCATTGCTTCTCAGGCAGACAAACTCAAATTTTTATGGGAAAACCCCTTTATCAGCAGCCGTTTATAACACGCTTGTTTTTGTTAGTGGCGGAGGGGTGTTTGGGGGGGGGGGGGGGGGGGGGGGTTGGGGGGACTATTCTTCCCATAGAATGGGGCCCTGTAGCTCACAACATGGGGAGAACTGGTAATTTAACTCTTTCAATGTCAACAAACTCACCATGCATTTATTGGTTGCTGTGTATGGTATCATCATTATCATCGTCATCAAGTACCTTGCTAACTGGCATGGGCAATCATGCCTCTCCACAGCTTATGATCTTCAACACAGCTTATGATCTTCAACACAGCTTATGATCTTCAACACAGCTTATGATCTTCAACACAGCTTATGATCTTCAACACAGCTTATGATCTTCAACACAGCTTATGATCTTCAACACAGCTTATGATCTTCAACACAGCTTATGATCTTCAACACAGCTTATGATCTTCAACACAGCTTATGATCTTCAACACAGCTTATGATCTTCAACACAGCTTATGATCTTCAACACAGCTTATGATCTTCAACACAGCTTATGATCTTCAACACAGCTTATGATCTTCAACACAGCTTATGATCTTCAACACAGCTTATGATCTTCAACACAGCTTATGATCTTCAACACAGCTTATGATCTTCAACACAGCTTATGATCTTCAACACAGCTTATGATCTTCAACACAGCTTATGATCTTCAACACAGCTTATGATCTTCAACACAGCTTATGATCTTCAACACAGCTTATGATCTTCAACACAGCTTATGATCTTCAACACAGCTTATGATCTTCAACACAGCTTATGATCTTCAACACAGCTTTTGATCTTCAACACAGCTTATGATCTTCAACACAGCTTATGATCTTCAACACAGCTTATGATCTTCAACACAGCTTATGATCTTCAACACAGCTTATGATCTTCAACACAGCTTATGATCTTCAACACAGCTTATGATCTTCAACACAGCTTATGATCTTCAACACAGCTTATGATCTTCAACACAGCTTATGATCTTCAACACAGCTTATGATCTTCAACACAGCTTATGATCTTCAACACAGCTTATGATCTTCAACACAGCTTATGATCTTCAACACAGCTTATGATCTTCAACACAGCTTATGATCTTCAACACACAGCTTATGATCTTCAACACAGCTTATGATCTTCAACACAGCTTATGATCTTCAACACAGCTTATGATCTTCAACACAGCTTATGATCTTCAACACAGCTTATGATCTTCAACACAGCTTATGATCTTCAACAGCGTGTATGATATACACCTCTAAACTCTTCTGTCTCATTCATCTGGTCTGGTTATTGTAACTCATTAGCATGCAAAAACTGTGGCCCTCAAGCGCACAAGTTTTGAGATAGTAAGTGTTTATATGCTGAGTCTGAAAGAGTGAACTAAAACAGAACTAACAGTCCAACAAGTGCCTGTATTTTGTGACCGTCTCTTCTTCTTAGTGCTCACCAGCTGTACTCTTGGTAGAAAGTTCTGGTTGTTTGTCCACTTCTTGGCTTTGGTCTTGTCCCAGAATCTGAGTTTTGAATGCACATCGATTTTACAGATCTGTCTTATTTGTATTCAACCTCTTGGTTCCTCATCTCTCAGACAGGTGCACTCCAACTCCAATTGAAACACCCCTAGACCCTCTCATTTTACACCATACTTGTTAGAAGAGCAGTGGTTCTATTCTTTTTTTTCTCCCCAAATGGGGCCCTGGAACCAAACAAGGAACTAACCAAGTCAACTCACCGATGTTCTAGTACCACATTTATCCACTGGAATAATTATAGCCACATACTGGGAACTAGTATTGGTCGATACATCTGGACAGTTGGGTTGATTCAATATGCTCAAATGCTTGGCTTCCAGATTGCTGTCCTGTGCTCGAGAAAACTGGGCAATCATTTTCCCTTGTCCGCAGACCAGGACTGGCACTGGGGCTAAACAACAGAAAGATGAACATCTGTCCATGCACACCAAAGAAATGTATATATGCACACCAAGGAAATGTACACATACACACCAAGGAAATGTACACATACACACCAAGGAAATGTACACATACACACCAAGGAAATGTACACATACACACCAAGGAAATATACACATACACACCAAGGAAATATACACATACACACCAAGGAAATGTACACATACACACCAAGGAAATGTACACATGCACACCAAGGAAATGTACACATGTACACCAAGGAAATGTACACATGCACACCAAGGAAATGTACACATACACACCAAGGAAATGTACACATACACACCAAGGAAATGTACACATACACACCAAGGAAATGTACACATACACACCAAGGAAATGTATACATGTACATCAAAGAAATGTACACATGTACATCAAAGAAATGTACACATGCACACCAAGGAAATATACACATACACACCAAGGAAATGTACACATGTGCACCAAGGAAATGTACACATACACACCAAGGAAATGTACACATACACACCAAGGAAATGTACACATGCACACCAAGGAAATGTACACATGCACACCAAGGAAATGTACACATACACACCAAGGAAGTGTACACATGTGCACCAAGGAAATGTACACATGTGCACCAAGGAAATGTACACATACACACCAAGGAAATGTACACATACACACCAAGGAAGTGTACACATGTACATCAAGGAAATGTACACATACACACCAAGGACATGTACACATGCACACCAAGGAAATATACATACACACCAAGGACATGTACACATACACACCAAGGACATGTACACATACACACCAAGGAAATGTACACATGCACATCAAAGAAATGTACACATACACACCAAGGAAATGTACACATACACACCAAGGAAATGTACACACCCACACCAAGGAAATGTACACATACACACTAAGGAAATGTACACATGTACATCAAAGAAATGTACACATACACACTAAGGAAATGTACACATGTACATCAAAGAAATGTACACATACACACCAAGGAAATGTACACATACACACCAAGGAAATGTACACATACACACCAAGGAAGTGTACACATGCACACCAAGGAAATTTACACATACACATCAAGAGATGTCATCAATTTTCAGAAATGTTTTACAGTCTAGAATAAACTAATAACTAATTTAAAATAGAAACTAATATCTCTGTGTATTTTCAAAATCTAAATATTGTTATGTTATCCAGGTAAGATAATAATCGACATTAAACAGACAGCAATATATTTGAACATTTGTAGGAAATCAAGAGTTGATTGATTGACGTATAACCCCACCAGGATATCAAACAGAACAATAAACACATGGTGACACAAAGTGCCACCATTTAGATAAGGATCACCAGGTGACAGGTTTCATAAACCCCGTTCAACCCATGGGTTGGGTTATATTAGGGTCCCCTGCAACAGCCAGAGTGTGGCTCTAAGATAACGAAAATCTGCATTCCGTGTATGGTCAGTAGTTTTGGTGAAATTGAAGTCAAGACTGACTGACTGACTTTCTACTCCACCAGGACATCACACAAGTGATAAACACCCGATGACACAAAGTGCCACCATGTGGATGAGGATCACCGTGGAGAGGTCCCAGAAACCGCGTTCAGACAATTGGCCACATTTATGGCCTGCCTATATTGCAGCCCCTGGCAAAAGCCAGAGTGGGGCTTAAAATAACAAAAAATTACGTCCTAAGAAGGACATAAGGATAGACATATAAGTCAAGAATTGTTTCAATAACTGGAAATACTAATAACTAGTTTAGAATTACTGTTGATATCTCTGTACATGTGTAAAAAATCTGAGAATTGTTGCAATGCCCGGGGGAAAAAAAAAAAGAAACTTCAGGACTGTTGCAATGCAAAGCAAAACACTAGCACACAACTTAAAACAGAGGTTAGCTTGTTCACAGGTTGCAAGGGATGTAGTAAGCCAGTTGATTATGTGCTGCATTTGTTTCTATAGAGTTATATCCTACAAATGATTACTTCCCTTACTCTACACCCTGTATTTATCACTCTTTGAGCCTGAGGATTAAGGGCCACCTGTATATAAACACCCTGAGGTTATTTATCAGTCATGAGAAATTCTGCAGTGTTGTTTCATTACCGATGCAACGAACATCATCCAAGATCACTGTACGGTTGGCTAGACTTGGCTTTAATTCTGCAGGAATACCTGGTTTGGCTGTGTAGTTAGTGCTGCAGACAAATATAATGATGAAAAAGATCAAATTAATAATTTTAAATAAAATGTGTCTTAAAACTCTTTTACTGCTTCAGGTATTAAGGGACACACACACACACACATATATATATATATATATGTCTATATGTATATTTATACTTACATACATATGTGTGTGCTTTCTTAAAGATGTTTTAACAATGTTTAAATTAAAAAATGAAAATGTTGAGCCTTTAGTGTTTTTTATTACCTAAAAAAAGTGGTACTATTTCCCCAACAAATGTTGACAACCCTGTTCCTAAACATTAAACACTGAGTTAATCCGACTTCAAATGAAACCGCAATTAGTCAACTCTTATGACATGCGTGTTGGTGAGGCAGTGGGTCTATTCTTGTTTTCCCTACAATGGGGCCCTGGAACCCACACTGGGAACCATGGAAATTGAATCCAGGCATGTCTAGGATCGGTAATACTCCATTAACCTGTAAGCCAAAGAGGCATGTTAAACTACAAGAAGGAATAAATATTAACTTACGGGAAGCACATCTGGGCACAGACTATCTTTGCAGCTTCAGAGCTCCAGCCATCATCACAAACAAATCCCCATCCTCCATTAGGTTGTTGAACTTCTACATAACCTATACCATCAACTCCTTGTCTGCCAGCTAACCTGACAGTTGGAGTTGTCTGACCTGCAGGCAACAACAAACTGATTAATGATCAGCATCATAACATGCCAAGCATACTATAGAGGTTCCATCTCCCATAGCAAACAGATTACTGAAACAATGTTAGAGCAAACAGAACTTCTGATTCTGCAGCACCAGCTGTCCAGTCCCTGCACTCACAACCTAAAGTGATTAGAACTCTACACAAGTGTGATTCAGCAGCACCAGCTGTCCAGTCCCTGCACTCACAACCTAAAGTGATTAGAACCCTACACAAGTGTGATTCAGCAGCACCAGCTGTCCAGTCCCTGCACTCACAACCTAAAGTGATTAGAACCCTACACAAGGCTGATTCTTGCTAGGACACTTTGACCCACTCCTCTCTTTGCCCAAATTTATCCAGCCTGCACACATATCCAATTGTGCCTTCAGCTTGCACCACCCAAGACCCTTATCTCTATCTAGGGCTTCATGCAGGAGGTGCTTCTTGTCTACAGCTACACTAAAATATGACTTTCTTGCAGAACTTTGAGCCTACCTGCAATGGTAGGCAGTGCAAGTATGTATCACATACATACTTCCTGGGTGTCTCTTGTATATCCCAGAATTACCCTCATGGCTTCATTATGTATGCAATCAGGTTTTTTAACAAACTCTTTGATATGGTAAGCATTCCAGGTGCTCCATCTCCCACAACAACAACACACTGACAACTGATTAAAGAAACAACATTATAGCATACTGGGCAAACCATTGATATTATGTTGACTGCAACAGCAAACTGCTTAATGATTAAAGGAACAACATTTTAGCATACTGGATATACCATTGATATTATGTTGACTGCAACAGCAAACTGCTTAATGATTAAAGGAACAACATTAAAGCCTACTGGATATACCATTGATATTATGTTGACTGCAACAGCAAACTGCTTAATGATTAAAAAAACAACATTAAAGCCTACTGGATATGCCATTGATATTATGTTGACTGCAACAGCAAACTGCGTTATGATTAAAGAAACAACATTAAAGCCTACTGGATATACCATTGATATTATGTTGACTGCAACAGCAAACTGCTTTATGATTAAAGAAACAACATTTTAGCATACTGGATATACCATTGATATTATGTTGACTGCAACAGCAAACTGCTTTATGATTAAAGAAACAACATTTTAGCACACTGGATATACCACGGGTGCCCACTGGTTGTTATCATTGGTTTTAGTCCTCATGAAGGCAAATGCTTTTTTAATTTTCCTAGAATGACCTGCCTGAAAATGGGAACTGGAGTATGTTTTAGGAAGTAAAGGTGCCCAAAATAATACTGATGTCATAACAAATTGAGATCTGATTTGGTAATAAGAATATATAACTAATATACTCCAAGGCAATTAGAAGATTGTGTTTACCTTTCATTGCTGATTCGACTGCATAGTTATAACTGGGATGATCATTACTCATGCGGATACTAATAAACTACTACAGTCCATTACAGAAGTTTCGCCCAACTTTAAAAATCTGTAACGCAGTAACCGTTAGGTGTCAATTGTTAAAATTAGCATGCAACCTGTTATTAATCATGTCCTTGTAAGAATTTATTTTTTTAATTTAAACAAACATCTAGTTTTCATTTTGCCTTATTTGTCTAATTCACAGTTTAAGAAAAAAAAAAAACACTGATTCAAAGCAAACAATCAGCGTGCTTATAGTCAACTGAGTAATGAGCAATTTTAAAAACATCAAATTGTACATGTTTTGTAGGTTTCACATTCTCGGGTGGTCATCTCCAACATTATTCTCCTGTGAGTTGTGGATTTTCCATCGTATGCTGGATGGTCTATCAAAATAATCCCCATGCATCACTGCACGTGGGAAATGATTTCCAAACAATCACCAGGTGTGTGTCAATTACTCTATTTTCTATTTTTTTCAGGGTACACGAATTATTAGTCAAACAAAGATCAAAGAAAATGCCACTTTAAGAAGACATCAGCACTTGTGCAGTTGTAAATTAAACAATCATAAGGACACAGAAAATCTAAGGTCATGTGAAGAAATGTTTTTTTTTATTAATACAGTTTTTGTTAAAGTTTTAGAACATATTTTTGAAATGCACTATAATAATAATAATAATAATACTGCTGTTGTTGCTACTTCTGCTGCTGCTATTATTTCTACAACAGTTTATGCAGCTGTTATTATAATTATTCACATCATCACCATCCTTTCTTATATCACACTATGAGAGGGAAATAATTAATAATACAATCACTATCTATTTCAGTCCCAGAAGGTTTGAAAGGAGAAACACAATTTGGCACAACAATCATGGTGGAAAAGGCATCAATGTATAACTTTCAAAGGTGCAACATTTACTGTGCAGAATTTAAAATATTTGGTCAGATAAATAATAACACACCATGTTTGCATACCTAGACATAAAGCCAAGCACAAATGATAGGAAGGTTTTCCGGAGGGTTTAAAATGGCAGCGAGGCTCCGCGAGGGACATGCTACTGAATGAATGAATGAATGATGTCCTGGTGGGGTAGAAAGTCAGTCAGTCAGTTATGGTGCATTGGAAGATTACTCATAGCTATCCTCTTGTGGGATGTAATTTTTCATTATTTTGAAGCCCCACCCTGGCTCTTGCCAGGGGCCACAATATGGCCTAATGGCTGACCACAGTTTCCCGGACCTCTCCACGGGTGATCCTCATCCACATGGTGGCACTATGTATTATCTGGTGTTTATCGCTTGTGTGATGTCCTAGTGGGGTAAAATGTACTACTACTACTGTTGCATTGCTTGTGGCAAAAAGGCGATTTTGGTTTACACTGCATATTTTGGCAAATCAAAATATAAATACATGTAGTTTTTGTTTGTTAAATTATTTTGAAAGACACGTCTGCATCAAAGTCCAGAAGTGTACGAACAACCAGAACTTTCCACCTGAGTTTACAGGTGGTTAGGTTAAAAAAAAAGAAGAACTTCAGAAAAATTACAAAATCACAGAAAGCTATGGTTGAGATAACCAACAGACAAATACATATAATTTAACCCCGTACTCACAGTTGCCACTAATAATACTGGGTTTTGAAGTTGATGTGGTCGCAGGAGTCTGAGTAGACTGACCTGGCCCAAGATTCATGTTACATTCCACTCCGGCCTCTGTGTCAGTACCTCGTTTACAGTCTGAAACCTGGCTGGATAAACACTCAGACAACGAGGATTCATCTCCCGTACAGGCTGAATCATCCATTAGGAACAAATAACTTCCTGTTCCATACCTCGTATCTGTTACTGCTATTCCTCCATTTCTGTTGAAAGATGTATAAATTCACTTTTTCAGTCCCATACATTTTCTTATCATCTGCTGCCTAGACATTACGTCTAATTTTCTAATTCTGAGATATGCAGTTAAATTCAGCTGCAAGCAATTTGGCAACATATGCTTTACATTTATTTTGACAATAGCATAAAGCACCAACATTAAAAAAATTATTTGAAAAATACTGACATTGCTTAGTAAAATCAAAAACAGCCTGAAAATACTAGGGTTGGTTCTGTAACATCCTGTAGAGGATACACAACTAACTTTCTAACAGTTATGTATCAATTCACTCTTTCATCATAAGAAATTGTATATTTAACTAAGAAATGTTTGGATCTAACACTTGAAGAAAAATAATATTATAAGACAAAAAGAGTTTAAGTAAAATATGGGAATGAGTAGGTGAGTATAGGGAGCTGCAATGGCAAAGCAGCAAGATATCTGCATGCTGGGACAAATATCTTGGGTTCAAATTTGTACGAAGTCAGATTTTTTTTTCACAAATGGATTTGGCTTCCTGGTCGACCCAACCTAAAATGGGTACAAGGTAAAGTGCTGGGAAGTGAAGGTAGCCAGCATGATGTTGCTCAATTACCCATCAAGTGGCACTTGGTTATCAAAACTATGAGCCTAGTACCATATGCTTGATATGCCACTGAAATGAACATTTGATAATTTACAAATGTTTTATATAAGTTTGTCTTTTCATACCTTTACCAAAAACGCATGTTGCAATGGACTGTGAAAAACATTAAACAGTTAGTTTAATAAGTCATATAACTAAATTATTATTGAGAATTAAAATGAGAAGAATAAGGTGCAAAATTAAACAATAAATTAGAGAAGAGCAGTAGAGATTTGTTAAAGGTAAAGCACAACCAACACCATATTTATCTTGAGAACACTTTCAGAAGAAATGATTGAAATGAACGGAGATCTGTATTTGTGCTTTATTACACTAAAAGTATTTGATAAAGTGAAACACTAAGAAATTATAAGAATTTTGGAACCCTTAAACATTGATGGTAAAAATCTGAGAATTAATGAAACACATTCACTGGCAACAAGAAGCAGCCATAAGTACTGACAACTAAGTGTGAAATTCCTAAAACATTAAACAAGGTGTTGGACAAAGATTGTGTAGTATCACTCGATTTATTTCATTTGTACAGTGGAATAATAATTAGATCCATACATCGTATGCCAGGAATATCGGTTGGTGGGTATATTGTGAATAACCTGTGATATGCTGACGATTAGTTTTGATCACTGAAAATAAAATACAACAGCTAGAAATAATATACATAATTGTAACAAGAAGTAAAAATATTAGAGTTTGAACAGCAGAAGAACATAAGTAACTGTAATTACATTACATAGAAACTGGCCCTTTAAAATGCAGCATCAAAGTTAAAGGACAATCTTTAAGCAAGTTGAAAAATGTGAGTACTTGGGTATCCTGATAACATCAAACTGAAGACGCATTAAAGAAATTAAACGTAGAATAGCTCAAACACGGGCATCATTTTACAAAATGAAGAATATTCTATGCAGTCTTTCTGTGTCAGTTGAGATGAGATGTGAAAGAGAATTCTTAAGTGCTACATAAATCCTGACATACAGAAGTGAACCATGGACACTTAGATGATAAGTAACAGACTACTTGGAAGTGGCAGAGATGTGGTTTTATAGATAAATGATGAGAATATTGTTGACAGATAAAAAGGGCAATGAAGACGTCTTGAAAGAAACTTATTCACAAATAAAACTAACTGCCAACATCAGAATGAGGCAGTCTACATTCTTTGGTCATGTCATGAGAAGGAGAAAACTGGAGTACATCGTTATTGTGGGAAAGTTGGAGGGGAAAAGAGGCAAAGGGAGCTGACAGAGAAGAAGCTGGATGATTTGAAATCATGGCTTGGAAAATCATCTGTGTCAGGAATTACAAAAAGTACATGAGACAGAAGGTTGTGAACAGACATGACTACCAACACCATCTGGTGTGGACTATAAAAGGAAAAAGATATCTAGGTTCATGCTTGCCGGCTGGTTCAGTGGTCATGTGATCGAATTCTGTTCATTTGGGGATTTTTTTTTCACAGTCCTAGGCATGTTCGCCTATATTACATGAACCTATGTGAACTTATGATTATAATAAGCTCATGCAAAGTTATGACTGTAATGAATATATGAAGTTAAAACAATAATGAACTTACGTGAAGCCCAGTGATCTGCAAACCACAATGGCTTCCTTGTTGTCCCAGCCATCATCGCAGATCGAACCCCAGGTGTTATTGTTATCAACCTGGATCTCAACCCTCCCGACTCGGATTGATGCACTTGTTCCATTCATTAGTCGGATGTTGGTCACCCGAACAGCTGTTAATGATTTAAAGTTTATGATTACATAATTGTAGTTCAACCAATAAATGAACCTATACTTCAACACATTTGGAGCACAACCAAAAGAGATAAAGCCTAATTACAAACTTTTGAAAACAGAGTCTTACAACGAATCTTTGGACCCATCAAATATGCAAATAGCAGGGAACCGAGGGTAAGAAGCCACAACAAAATTTATAATCTGTTTCAATCACCAGTATCGTAAAGGTTAATAGATTGAAATGACTAGAGCATATTTAGAGAATGTCAGATGACAGAGAGGAAAAACTGTATACGTATGGGAGCTGAATAGTCACAGACTAGAAGGCAGGCCAAGAAGACGATGGAGAGATAATGTCCAGACAGACCTACAAAACCTGGTGTCACCATCTGGAAAAAAAAGGCTAACAAGAGAGATGAATGAAGGTTTGTGAAGAAAACGAGATACTCCGACAAATAAATGAACTAGAAATTATAATTAAGCGCAATCTCACATTTCATTAAATAAATCTTTTTCTTCTGAATGTTCATGGGTTGTAACCTCCAGTAGAAAGCTGTGATTGTTTGTTGCCTCTAAAATTGTATAGAAATCGTCTGTTGAAGTATTTGCTCATACATTTCATATTATTTTGAATGCAGTACTGTATTTTGTTGCCATTTAAGCACATTATTATTATTTTGTTAATATGATTATTGGTACCAAGAAGACGATGGAGAGATAATGTCCAGGCAGACCGCAAACACTTGGTGTCACCAAGTGGAAAGAGAAGGCCAACCAGAGAGATGAATGGAGGCGGGTGATATTTGCAGCAATGAACCCCAAGGGCTCGGAATGCTGAAGAAGAAGAAGAAGATGATTATCGGCATCATTATTATTATTACTGTTGTTGTGCTGAATGGCAAGTAAATATAATAATATACTTGAAACAATAGAAAATGTATCAGAAATTACTTTGAAAGAAAATTTCTTGGTTACAGGGAGTCTTTTAGACTTCTCACAAAGTCATCAGGGATGGGGGGGGGGGGGGGGGGGGGTACTCAAAAAGCCTGAGACCTTATATTCTGGTGCCTATAGTCCCACCTATAGTCAGCTTCTGTGGCTTAGGCGTTGCGAATGTGCTTTATAATGCCGGGTGCCGGGTTCAATCCTAGCTGTGGGCTCTGCGCCTTGCGTTGGTTTCAACAGTGGTATCGAGAAGCCGACTGTCTAGAAAGCAATGGCAAACTACTCAATGTAAATTTGCCTAGAAAAACCACAACAGCCAAAAAATGCTGGGGTTAGTTCTGCAAAGTCCTGTAATGGATACGCAACTAACTTTTTATAGTCCCACCATATATGCCAGGGTCTAAAACTGGGCTCTCCAAACTTTTGTTTTTTTCAGGTGGCGTCTTCCTTGACTTTATGGCAGGACCCACCCATAAAATGACTAAATGTGATTTGAAAAAGAAGAGGAATGTCTTCCTAATCTATAATTTAAAGCAAATGTTATTATATTTTTTGGATTTTGAACAGGCTATCCTCTGAATAACGGTCGTAAATTATCGGGGCGAAAAATAAACCCTAACAGGGCCTCAGTCACGTGTCAATTGCGCAGTTCCCTTGTCTTGAAATGCGAGCTTCCGGCCACTTCCGCCGCTGCGGTATTACAAACTTTCAGGAACCTCCGCCACCGCCGAGAGTGTCCCCAACGCCGCTAACGCGGCGTGGAATGGAACTAAACTAGATGGCTAGGACTCACGAGAAGCAGCTACCGCATCTCCTGAAGCTTCCTTCATTTTATTTGCTCGTGAGTCCTAGCCATCTAGTTTAGCCCCAATCCACGCCGCGTAAGCGGCATGGGGACACTCTCGGCGGTGGCGGAAGTCGCTGGAAGTTGGCAATTCGGCGGTGGCCTTATAGTCCTCAGAAGTGCAATTGACACGTGACTGAGGCCCTGTTAGGGTATATATTCAGCCTCGATAATTTAGGACCGTTATTCGGAGGATAGACGAAGAATGTATAAATCCCTAGCATTACACACCCTAAAGACTATATGGCGTTGGTAGTTATGTCTATTTACAACTTTCAGTCAACTCTGACACAGATGATCCTCCATGCCGTAAGGTGAGACTGTCCAGCATCTGTTCTCTCCCTCTGCCTCTCCTCCCATCCAACATTTCAACTGTCACCATGTACTCCACTTTTCACCTTTTCATCACATGACCAAAGAATGTAGTTTTATCTCTTTCTGCATATGGGTAATCAGTTCTCTTCGTGAGTCGGTTTTTTTTTTTCCTACACATCATTATTGCTCTTTTTATATGTCTAAGGAATTCTCATCATTCGTCATTTGGAAACATTAAAAAAATAAAAATAATCAAGGGCTATTCGCTTCTCAATAATAATCGGTATTTCTATTATAATTTTTATAACTATTATCACCATCAATAACAATAACAAATCGAAACACGTTTGCCTACCGATAGTCTGTGGCGTCCATAGCAGCAATGTCAGGAACAGTGGAAGACAATAAATTTGCATGTCTGCTAAAGATTCTTTTGCTTAAAGAATTCCTTATAAACGTTAGGAGCCTTCATAATTACTAACTGAAACAAACACACGCGTTTATCTATCGTCGTGCTACAAACATAACCTCTGCTAAAGTGACACTGTCTCAAGCGTCAACAACTAGCTTAGCTAGCCTTGCTTCAGCTAGTGTTAGTAACGAGGGCATTAACCTGTCACCCACGCATGCGCACAATGTCATGTTTTGATTTTATAGGCGTCTACCTGACATTTTACCTGTACAGTATTTGTGCCTAGATAACTAAAGTTCCCGAATATCTTTCAGTTGGACAAGGGGAAAACGTATTTCAAAAATGATATATAATATAGGAAACGTTTTGAAGGCTATTTTGATTCAAATCTATATACATATGATGCAATAAATTGTTTCAAGAGAGGCATGTCTCATTGTTTACTGGAGTGTCATAGCAACGCAAGTAAACGATTACTGCTGTAAACTGTATTATGTTTGTAAAAGTCGGGTTATTGCAGGCCTGATTTATTCTCATTTGTCTGTTTGATTAGCACTTGTTGATAGATTTACTGCTATATTCTGTTGTGATAAATTATGCGTTATCGGTCGTTGCGTGTCACCTTCTACATGCGGATTGTACTGACGAACAGCCAAGTGCAATTGCCGTGTATACATTGTGTGTTCCGTGTATGCAATTCAAGTCTAGTCACACAAAATAATAATTTAATTTGTTTAATAACATAATTGCCATATGAGATTGTTTTTCTAAATGCGTAGTCTACTTGCCTAGAACAATCGATCGGCAGATCTTGCACAGTCAGACTCTGACTGTCGATAAACAAGTCTCGACCTGTCTGTGACTGACTTTTCACGCACGTCTTGAACTCATCTCAAGCTGCCATGTCTGGCAACCATCTGTGCACATATTGATATACTAGTAATATTTAACACACCGTGATTGATAGTTAGAAACGTGTTGGCATTTCTGCTGTTTTTCTTGTTGCCGCAAAAGACCAACATAAAGACTGCTGCATATTGTATTTTGCCATTCACAACACATAAAGATGGTTTTCACTTAAAAGGCGATATGGTTTAGCACGACCAACTGTTTGACGCTTTCATCTGTCTTCAACTCATAGCATCAAATCAAAGGTAAGTTGTTTATTTTAATACATTTTAGTGTTTACTCTAGAATATTTCTCTTTTTAAATTGTCACTGCCAGCGCTTCTTTTCCTCTACATTTTTATTACTGCCCAACCAATCCTCCACCCTTCTTCTCTTCGAATCTCCAATCGTCATCATCATCCTCCACCTCGTTTCTTTAACGTGGTTCATAACCCCCCCCCCCCCCCAACAGTACTGCAGGCTACACCAGTCTTGTACAGGTGTTAGGAGTTCCTTATTATCCAATTTTTTCCAAGTTGAACATGGTATTTGGGATTTGCCTTTGTCTTCTCTTGCTGGTTTAGATTACTTCTCAGGATGTTACAGTAACCTGTAGGAAGAGGCTCAGAGGGGACAAACTGATCGATCGATCTCTTAATCAAATTCTTATTCCTATTCCCCTCCTCCTCTTCATTCCTCTTTCTCATCATAATCATCATCATTACCACTTTAACATGAGTCGCCATGTCCTTCCACGTCTACCCTTCTCCCACACCCATAGACGGAGAAATATCACATGGTACTCGGTGAGAAAAATGTCCTGCCCCCACCCCCCTCCCCCATATATATATTTTCTGAAAACAATGTTACCACACCCCCCCCCCTCCTTCCCCCACACACCCGAATGAGAGCATTTTCTTCCTACACCACTATCAGTGCCCCCCCCCCACCTTCCTTCCCCCCACCTTCCTTCCCCACACACACACACCCGGATGCCAGCATTTTCTTCCTACACCACTATCAGTGCCCCCACCCCCCCCCCCCCCACCTTCCTTCCCCACACACACACAACCGGATACCAGCATTTTCTTCCTACACCACTATCAGTGCCCCCCCCCCCCCCCCACACACACACACACACCCGGATGCCAGCATTTTCTTCCTACACCACTATCAGTGCCCCCCCCCCCCCCACACTTCCTTCCCCCCACACACACAACCGGATGCCAGCATTTTCTTCCTACACCACTATCAGTGCCCCCCCCCCCCCCACCTTCCTTCCCCCCACACACACAACCGGATGCCAGCATTTTCTTCCTACACCACTATCAGTGCCCCCCCCCCCCTTCCTTCCCAACACACACACACACCCGGATGCCAGCATTCTCTTCCTACACCACTACCCCCCCCCCTTCCCCACACACCCGGATGCCAGCATTCTCTTCCTACACCACTACCCCCTCCCTCCCTCCCCACACACCCGGATGCCAGCATTCTCTTCCTACACCACTACCCCCCCCCCTTCCCCACACACCCCCGATGCCAGCATTCTCTTCCTACACCACTACCCCCCCCCCCCCCCTTCCCCACAC